GTAAGAGAAGCAAAAATTCAAACGTTATAGATTTGTTTATCTGTTATTATTTGCTGGTACTTAATTCCCATCTCTTATGCTTTTGCAATAATTGTAATCAGTTTCATCAAAATACCATTTGAATGCGGTATCACCATGTAAATCGAAACACTTATTTTCATTATATCCACCACGGATTTTTTCTGCTGTTGAAGAATCCTCCATACTAGAATGAACCCAAAATGTCGTAGAATTATCTAATGTAGTCAAGGTTGCAATTCTGTTCTTATGACCGTCACCGTTACAATAGAACACATACCAATCTCTAGGATAAACATTTGGAGGTATGTAAGTTATGAATTTCCTGTTGACATCCTCCATCCAAATAGTACAATATTGTCTATCTGTATCCAAGTAAAAAAAAATTCAAAGGTTAAGGGGTACTCAATGTTTACTCTCGATAAATGAGGTTTCCTTATCGGATCCAAGATGTAACATGAGTATAACCTCATATCCTAAATATGATGGATTCAATTAAATAGAATCCAAGTTGATCCAATAAAGAATTACAACATATTCAAGAACTTTACCTTGGGCTTGTACAAAAGTCACGATATTCATTAAGCTACAGATGATAACGATGATATTAAATGCGATTGGATGTTTCATGGTGAATATTTGTTTCAAGTTAAATTGTCAAAAAATCAAGAAGAGGGTGTGTTTATATAGGAAATTGGCCTACTTCCTTCAGACGTGAACGGAACCACTTATTTCGTTTTCATACTAAAGCTTGATTACCTTATTGTATTGTGACTATTTTTCATACTCATGTTATTGCAATTGAAAACTAAAATCATTGCAATTAAAATCTTATTTATCTCATATTTTTCCACATTATTGCAATTGAAAATCTTCAGCATTGCAATTAAAATCTTATTCATCTCATACTTTTTCACGTTATTGTAATTGAAAAATGATTATTAAACAAAAATGTATTAAACTGAAATAATTAAATGTTAGAAAAGATATTTACATAATGGTTGCTATAAACCTTACGAAAAAAATCATCGATAAACCGACTGGCAAAATTTGTCGAAATTTGAAACCATAATCAGTCATTGAAAGAACGATTCCGGATTGGCCGATTCGGATCACTAGTAGTTGCTGGCAGAATCCATCCCTTATTAAATGACCTCATTTCCTAATTTGACGGTCTCTTTTTAAGTGTGATGATGAAATGAAGTAGTACAGTTTAATATGAAAATGATTTTCATCCATAATGAGCTGCGATTACTGTGCTACCCCAATTTTTTAATGGTTACAAATGCCCTACTTTTAATAAAGCTATCTAGTCGCATTTTCTTCGTCTTTCACATGATTGAACGAAATATAATTGTTTCAGAAATTCTAAATTGATACCGATGTTTTATTGGTCAAAAAACGTACGA